GTTCTGGCGCCAGCCTCTCAAGCTCAAGGAACTGAGTTTGACCTCTGGTACCAAAAAAAAATTACTATACACAAGAAGTACACGTAATGTATTTGTTTGAGGGAAAGTAAGAGAAAAGCTAAACTATCTTTGCAGAACACAGAAAGTTGTCTCTAAGAGTTGGTAATTTCTGGGAAAAAGAGAAAGTTGATTATTCAAGTAAAATTTTTCCATGGAGTTTTCTGAAGCCGCATCATGAGTAAAAACTTTTTTTCACCTTTCCAACAATCTGCAAAAATTATCAGGTACAACCTACCAAGCATGAAGTTGAGGAAGAAGAGAAGATTGAAGGCATAAGATAAAATTATGTCATCACTATGGAAATTTTATGATTTAGTGTTCCCCAACCATCCTCTGAGATTAGGAAGGATGCAATACCTCATCTGGCTTCACAGCATGGACAGACCAAAAGACCTATGGGGAAAATGGCATGCATTATATAATTAAGAGACAGGAGAGGGATTTTAAGGCAGTGAGATCCTATTTTGTTGGTCTCCTCTATTCTCTGTTGGTGAAGGAGGAAATTCAGCCTCAAGGTTCAAGGGAGTGGATGAACACACAACACACAAAATTAAAGAGATTAAATTAACAGGAGATTTTTGGTCATGAATACTCAAAGCCCAAGAGAGGGTAACATAGAGCACTAGGCAGGTCTACATGGGAGTTGCACTTGGGAACAGAATGAACATGTAGAGGATGTGGCAGGCAGACCTCACAGTAAACAGGAGATTCAGTGACCCCTTGTTCCCTCGGCAGGATGTGCATGACTAATTTAAGTAATTTTGTACCTGACACCAAAGTGAAAGCTATTAGATTGAGCACTGGTCTAATGGCACATGAAATTTTAGGATTCATAATACAACTGACACATTTGATGACTCAAATACCTACTGTGCTGATGACTAATATCTTGAGAGGTTGAAAAAGAGGACTTCTGAGACACACAATAAATTAATCACAATAAATATTTAAAGATGAGAGAGGATTAGAATGGTCAGAATTATGAGCAATAGATTTTCAAGCTCATGAAAAGCTACTGACCCCATTTGTTTAGCAAACTGCAGAAAAGAATATATGAGTCCTCTGGCAGCATAGCCTTGGCTTTTTTTGTTTTTTAGGATTTGGGAAACATTTTGTGTTACTCATATATGGGTTTTTATTTTTCTTATAAGTTGTTGAATCATTCTTATTGATCCACAAGCAACAGTGACTTCAGTATGGAAGACACTCACCACCTCTGGGTGGCTCAGGGGGCAGGTGGATGTCAAAATGTGAACTTTAGAGATGATGCTCTCATTGACCGTATAAGACAGTTAAGAAAATTGTGTAACACTGATGAAAAGAGCATCTGTTTCTAAGCAATGCCTGTGGCAATAAGAAATGCAGCAGGGCAACCACTTGGAATTTTGTAATTTAAATAGGAATTTTTGGAGGATCTCATTATCTTTCTCTAGTCAAGCATTTCCTGGAGCCTATAGAGGAGGTAGGAGTCCTTCTTTAAAAGCACTGCATTGTGTGTTTTGAGAAGCAAAATAAGTACCTTAGTGACTGTATGTAATATCTGGCTCTGAAGGGGAAAAGGAGTGTCCCTGTGAGATCTCATATTGTGTCCTTAGAACATAGCTATATCTGTTACTTTGGTTTATATTCTGGGTATCTGAGAGGTAAGAGGTTCTCAGAGTTCTTGAATTTGATGTAGGAGTGATCTAGGGGAATATTGGATACATAAAATGCACTGATGGGACCAGTTGCTGCCCAGAGGAGCCAGTGTTATGATTACAGTCTAGAGTTCGGCCAGGCATATAAGGCCTCTGAGTCCTACCCATTATCAAGGAAATTCTCCTTAATGGATGAAAACCAGCAATATTCCATAGCTCCATCATATATGATGGAGAACCAACAAGTGCATATGACTGTTCACTCAGTTAATTTCAAGAGGCTGTTCAGGTGCATAAGGGGTCTAGGGGCAAAGGCAAGTTTCCTTGGTGCCATGTCATCTTTAAGAGACTGAGGACAAAGGGGACCGCTGACTCCACAGATGAGATATGCCAGAGGGTGTGTTTGGCTCCATTCTGGAGCAAGGAAGACTTTACAGCCATCCTGAGCCTGTAAGATGCTGTGTCACAGGGCATGTGGGCAACTGAAATAGAGGGTCCTGGGTTTAGAGAGCGTCTATCAAAGCTTCCTTTTCCAGGAAAACCCAGTAGTAGTAGGTAGTCAACAATGGTCACTCTCATGGCATATATTACAGGGCTAAGAAGGAACAGCTCCTTACCTCAAGAACCTATGGACAATTTATGGCTACTATATGTAGTCCAGAGACTTTGGGAGGCACATGGCTTCAAGAAAGGGAAATATTCTCTTTCTCTATTCACATTCTACTTCTAATAAATGATAACAAAAAAAATCTATTTGGTCTCTATGACTAATGTTTCTATAGAAATTTGGAAAGACACTATGCCCATTAAATACAGAGTTTATTTCCTAACAATGTATAGCTTTCTAGAAGGCCAAGGCTGACATCAATCAGTTTTGAGTAATTAAGCTCTAATTTTTCTAATAAAATATAAATTTATAACTACAGAAAATCATTCTTTTGTGTATATTGGTAAGAATTAGGCTCATTTTAGTTACTTATTCAAAGGAAAATTAGTTTGATTGGAAAGAAGGTTGCAAAACAATCTCAGGTACTATTTAAAGCTATTTTAACAGAGTTTGAAAATACTTTCTTTTGGTCAATCCAATGTGAAATTTGAAATCTTCATTCACAGTGTGTCTCAGTGAGAAAAGTATTATTGGAATCTAACTTCAATAAATCTTTATGGTAGTGGACTATCCTACACATTGCAGGATATATCAGTAACATCCTGCAATTATAGTTCCTCCTACAATTGTCCAGTTAATTTCTAAGTAAACTGAGAAAAACAGAGCAGAAGTGGTTAAAAAACACTGTTTGAAACTACAAGAAAACAAGAGTGACACTTTAAGACCCCGATATAGATAGTGGTTCTTTGAATAATATTCCAGAAGTGCAAGCAACAAAAGCAAACCTAGACATGTGAGACTATATAATACTATGTAAAACTATACAAAACTAAGACACTCCTGTAAAGCACAGCACATAAACAAACCACTCACAAGACTAGAGTATTCCTGTACCAAGGGATTAATACACAGAACACATACAGAATACAAAGCACTCAATAGTAAGAAAACAAGTAGTGTGATTTTAACATGAGCCAATAATAGTAAGACATTTCTGAAAAGAAGATATACCAATGTTCAATAAATATATAAAAGAATATGTTTAACATAATCAATCATCAGGAAAATTCAAATCAAAACCACAGTGAGATATCATGTCCTCCCAGTTAGAATGGCTATAATCAGAGACAAAACATTATCAAATATTTGATTGTATGTGACATGAATTTCACTTCAATAAAAATTAACAAGAAAAAACATTTCCCAGAGCCATTATTTTTCCCCAAGTCTTTTCAGGGTATTTTAGTTAATTTGCATTCATCTAAAAGTCTACCAGATCATAGACTAATACACCTGTTTACAGTGCTGTTGTAATTTCACATATCTTCTAGGTTTGCATATTTCAATGAGGACAAGGATTTCTGCTTGATAATCTCAAGCTATTTTCAACTTCAGTCAAGAAACCTAAAAGCTTAAAATAATCCACCACTTGCTGAACACAGCTGGTAACAACTCTCTAAGGAGAGACAGATTTCATCATTGTTTAATATGTAGTTCTTTGAAACCCAATATAGCACCTTCCTGTGGTATGCCTCTCAGTGCCAATGTCTTAGAATATTTGTAAATAGTGTGTTGCTTCTTTCGCATCGTATCCTTTTCATAATTAAAAGATACTTTATTAACAGTTATTTTATTCTTTATGTCCACAGAAGTATCAGATTCGTATAAAGTGAGGGGTAACATGTTCTCAGAAAAAGCTGGATCAGAGCCGGGGATTTAGCTCAGTGGTTCCGCCTCCTGCCTTGCAAGTGCACAGGTGCAAGTTCCTGAGTCTGATCCCTGGTACCAAAAAAAAAAAAAAAAAAGAAAAGAAAACCTGAATCTAAGGTTTGGCATGCCAATCTAGGGTTCAAATAAATCAGCTAAACTGAATACTTCCATTATCATATTTTTTTTGTCTTTTTTATTTAGCAAACACCTTTGGACACCTCATTTGAATGATTTTAAAAAATAAACAAAATCACTATTTCTGGTGGCTTTTTTTCACATATATGTCCAATTTATTTCACTTAAGAATATAGTCTCAAGTTGCATCCATTTAGCTATAAATGTCTCAAGTTTGTCTTTCTTTATGGCTAAGTACTACTCCGTTGTATATATAAAAAAAAAAAATCTTTTTTTATTCATTCACTGGTTGATGGGCATTAGGGCTGTTTCCAAGGTTTAGCTACTACTGTGCCCCTATAAACATGGGTGTCCATATATCATTGTGTTATGATGTTTTTAATTCTTTTTTTTTCTGATGGCTTTTAAAAATTCTTCACTCATTAGATTGTTATTATTTTACAAATTGACACTAAATAATGTGGTTTGCAAAAACATCACTATCCACTGTAATATTAAGGATAGTGTCCCTTATTTCCAATGTCATGTGTTGAAATCTTAACCCCCAAGCTAATGGTGTTTAGATGTGGAGGCTTTTGGAAGACATGGAGTCATGAAGATGCCCTCATGAATGGAATCAGTGCTCTTGTGAAGGAGGCCTGAGATAACTGTTCCCCTTTCTACCTTGTGAGGACACATCAGAAAACCACTACCTATGACCCAGAAAGTTGTCCCTCACTAGATACCAAATATACTATAGCTTGCATCTTAGACTTCTAAACATCCAGAATTGTGGGAAATGAGCTAATATTGTTTATAAGCCACAGAGTTTCTATGAGGTATGATCAAAAAATACAATGAATGTTTACATGTTTCCTTGAAAACATTTATTACAGTAAAAGACACATTGCCATTAATCCCTCAATTAGAACACATTTATCCCAACTTTCTTGCCACTTTCTGAAGAAGTTCTGGAAGAAGTTCTGGAAGTCCTCTTTTGTGAGTGTATATAGTTGTGCTTTCCAGGCTACCTCAATGTCCTGAGTCATTTCAAAACATTTACCTTTCATGGTCACTTTGAATGGTGACGATCTGGAAGTCCCAAAGTGCCAGATCCTGTGAATAAGAAGAATGAGGGCACATGCAATTTTTTAGAAGCCCGCCTTTTCATTGGATGGCACTCAGTAACATCATGTGCTATTTTTTTACCATATTTTTACCTCTTTTTTTACCATTTTACACCTCATGCCTGTGGTAGTACATACCTGTAATACCAGCACTCTGGGACGCTGAAGCAGGAGGATCACTAGCTTGGGTCCAGCCTGGACAACAGAGTGACTTAACAAGACCCTATCTCAAAAAAAAAAAAAAAAAGCTAGGAACATAGCTCAATACAATTCACAATAGTAGAGAAAAAAAGTCCAAATTGAAGTTCAAGTTTTTGATTTTATGTATTATGCTCTTAAATTTTATATCCCAAAAGTAATTGATTCTATTCATTTCAATTTCTGTGCAGTGAGAATAAAACTGATAGTATTGTCACCAGATTCTTTGTGCATTTACAGTAACATAATAAGTTCATATTTGGCTGGGATTCTGAATCTCAAAACTCTACAAATTCCAATACTGCACCATAAGTTTTTAATATAAATATGGGAAAGGCACATCTTGGGATAATTTGCTTGGTATATGGTCTTTTGTGATTTCACTATAAACCAAGCTGAGGTAACCAGAACAATGAGGGTATATTTTGTTAGGTGTGAGCACGAATAGCTTTTTTGGCCATCATGATCAGCATTCTGCAATAAAAATAACGTTAGTCTAATGTGTAATTCAAGATTTTCTATAGCTATATTTTAAATGTAATATGTAAAATGGAGTTTAATAATATCTTCAATTTATACCATCCTAAAAATATTATCTTTTGCAATGTTTATCACAACAATTTTAGAGACAGACTATAATATTCTTTTCTTCTACTGTCTTTGAAATCCATTGCATATTTTATAGTTACAGCAAATCTTAACTCAGTCTAGTCACATTTCTAGTGCTCACATGTGGCTATAGCTACCTTTTTCAATAGTATGCTTAAAATCTTGTTACTATAAAGGAGAGGATAAAGAAACTAATGGAAAAAATTGAAAGGGAAGAGAAAACATTTAGTTTCTAAAGTCAAATGCACTTCTAATGTTTACATCACTAGAGTTGATTAAGTCAGAACACCCTTACTTAAGGGGCTCAGGAGATGGTGAATGGAAACAAAGCTCAGGAAGGGAGAAGGGTTTCAACATCCCCTGAAGAGCAACATAGGGCAAATAGACTCAGGGACTAGAAATATAGCTCAGAGGTGGAGTTTACACTCAGCATTCTCAAGGCTCTAGTTTTGATGCCCAACAACACACAAAAAAAGAAAAAAAACTAATTGAAATAATTGTATAATAAGGCATACAAACAGTGTTCTAAAAGATCACTCTCTGGGACTGTTTTAGTTAGTTTCTAAGTTAATGAGCTCAAACGAGTAATAATGAGAATTAACACTCACATCTTCAAGCTCAATAATAAATAATGGCAGAGTAATACCTACAGATTTTAAACAAAAGTAGATAGCTCAAATGTCTAAAGACAACATGCAAAATAATAAAAAAGTACATTCCACAAAAGTTTGCCAACTTAAAGACATGTCTATCAGAAACTGGATAGAAGAAAAATTTCAGCTAGTAGAATTCTGTTGGGACCTTTTAACCATACAGAATTCAATCCTCATATGGATATAGGGGAAGAGATGTAACTCGCAAACCTACTAGATACCTGAAACACAAGTTCATGGTCTCTAAAATTGAAGAATGAATTCTAGGAACAACGGAGGTTAAGAGTAGGAAAAATTTATTGAGAGACAGGCCAGGGATTTAGTTCATTGTTTCTGCTGCCTGCCTTGCAAGTGCAAGGTCCCAAGTTCGGTCCCCGGTACCAAAAAAAAAAAAAAAAAAGAATAAATTTCTGATTTAAAAAATAAGTAAATTTATTGAGAGAAAGAAAGCTTCTAAGAGAGACAGAAGGGGGACCGGAAAATAGGTTGCCCACCCACCCCACGTTTCAAAGATGTTTTATACAACAGAGCCATGTGATGAGGTGGGTACACAATGGAAATTTACAAGGTGGGCATGAGGTGGCGCAAAACCATGACCACCCAATAAGATTACAAGTACAGTCACCCAGGTAATATTGATTAAACGGGGGTCAAGTGGGGAAGCAATTCACATAGCAAGCATACAAGGATTTTCAGGAAGGGTGGGTCAGGGATATTTCCTTGAGAGGCTGGGTTAAGACCTTGGCCCCCCACCCAGGTGATTGACGCCTGTTTAGAATATCAATCACTGCTATTCATCCTTCAGGGCTATGGTAGTTTCTTTCCTTTTACAATGCTGGCCTTCAGTGAATGTGTCTTCACTGTCCTCCCTGTTGGCTCCTCCTGGGCTGGCCCTGCCTAACTGCCAACAAGATATCTAATTAACTTACCAATCTGGAATAATATCATATGATGCCTTATTTCAGTAAAATATAATATGTTTTATCTTTAATACAATGGTGACTATCCTAAATTGAGAAGACTTTACTGATTTATCTCAGTAGTTTTCACTAAATAGCAATAAATCTGTATTCTCCAAAGCAATTACAACTTGGAGAGCAATGCCAAAATTTAAAAGAGAGAAAGAGAGAGAGAGAGAATTTTACCAAGGATTATAAAAGACAAAGGAAAATTTTTGTCTACTATTTAAAATGACTTCCTGTGTACTGACGAAAACTTTAAAATGTAAAATCCCAAGCTTACAATACAGAGCTCTAGTTTAGAAGATTTAGACACAAGTGACAACAGAACTCCCAAATGAGAAATTAGAACAGTGTTGACTGAATTCTTGGTAATACTTTATAAATCCAGTTTCTTAAGTGATCTGTGATTGGAAGACCCAAAAAGGAAAAAAAATGCCATTTTCACCTGAAAGAATAATATGTAATTCTGAATATGTAGCATGCATTCGAACAGCCCCTATAAAATGGTCCTGAAATCAATGAATTAAATCTACCTACAAGTACTCCAAGTAGTTGAACATTTTGACAAATTACCTTATACACTTAATAATTTAGTCACATTTGGGATTATCAGAATAAGATCATGACAATAGTGAACTTTTTCAATCTCTCCAAAATTCTCCCAAAAATCAACACTAGAATACACCATTTAAAACATAGCAAAGCAGACAAAAACAACACAAATGAGCCTTTCAGCCCATACAAATAACAGGAAATTCCCAGAAGTTCCAGAATGCTGAGGTCTGTGGCTGATTAAGCATTAGCATTGGAAATGTGCAAGATCAGGTGGCTGATGTGGGAAGAGACATAGAAAATACACTACTGACTTGTCTTATAAACACCACAAGAAAAAATGTCAAAAAAAAAAAAAGGCCCTACGTTTGAAAATGGCCAGCAAAATGGGGGAAAAGTGTTCCTCAATTTATCCATTATTCCAAAACACTACATACACATACAGATTTATGAGAAATATGCTGTGGGGTTAATGGAGAGTTTCAGAAATAGCAAGAAGATTCTACCTTGTGCAGAACAAAGCCTCACTTTAAGGGAAAACCATTGAGAATGAAAACAGGACAGAGTGCTGTAGAATGTTTAAAAAACAACTGGAGGGAGAGAACTAGAAAAAGAAAATCCTTGAGTGTACTGAAATGGCAAAATATCATTTCTAAACCCAAGGGCTCTACCTTAGAAGACAAGGTCTAGGTATCTCTGGGTTTGACAGGAAAAATCATCCTGAACCAAGCTGAGCTCTAACATACAGAGAAGGGCTATACAGGAATATCACATTTTAGTCATTCATAGGGGCAAGACAGAAGGAGCCCCAAAGCTGTAGAGCTAAGAGAATTATCTTGTTGTTTTCTCCACCTCCATAAGAATACCCCCAAATAGCCCAGTAAAGCCCACTTCATTATACCATCTGGGGAGAAAGGAACTCTTTTCTAACACCATGTAAATCTATAATGACCTAAAAAAGAGAAACAAACCTACCAAAAAATAGCTACATAACAGAAAAATATGGAAATAGCACAGACAAATAATCTTATATTGCAAAACGAATTAAATTAAGATATGATAAAATCATGAAAATAGGACAATCATAAATAAATAAGATCAGAAAATAAATTATTAGACAAAAAATGATACAAAATGAGATCTGATAAGTTTTAGAAAATAAAACAGAATCAAATTATAGACTACAGGGCCAGGGATTTAACTTAGTGGTTCTGCCACCTGTCTTGCAAGCACAAGGACAGGAGTTTGATTCCCAGTACCAAAAACAAAACAAAACAAAAATTATAGACTACATTTTCAAAACCAGTAGTGTGAATAAGTATTAAAATTCAGTAAAGAAAATAGGAGAAGAAAAGATCTGAAGGAAAAAATAAAAATAAGTATCTTTGGAATATGTATATACATATTTATATGTATCTTGAACTAAAACAGTCTTAAATATACAAGTATATCAAGCAGTTGAACAATTTGACTCATATCGGTCATCATGCGTATCTTAATATAACCATGGGATTTTCATATTAAGGAAAAAATATTTTGAATACCCAGTCCCTGCCCCCAAAATCCATATCACTTACAAGGTAGAGAAGATCAAATTGGAATCAGATTCTTGACAATATAGTCCACCTTCCATATCTGGATAAGATTAATGTGTGGATTCAACCAACTATAGATGAAAAAATTCAGAAAAAATGTGTCTATAAACAGGCACAGATTTTTTTGTTTACTGTTCCCTAAACAATATAATATAACAACCATTTACATAGTACTTACATTGTATTATGCATTACAAATAATCTAGAGATAGTTTACATTTGTGGAAGGATATATCCTATGCATACATATACAGTATGGTACTGAGGATCAGAATAACCTGAGTTTGGGGCAGTTTCTTTTCTGTTTATTTCTCTTTCTGTAATGTCCTGGTTTGTTCCAGAATGATTAAAGCAGACTATCTGGAGATGACTATTAGAAATCTGTCTTCTAATAAAGTGAATGATAGGCACACAGGTGTCTGATACCCAATGCTCTGATGGAACTCTAAACTTACACCAACCCTGAGTTTATACAATCTCACCCTGAAGGTTACAGGGGACATTGACCAAAACCCAGAAGAAGAAAAAAGATCAATACTTGACAATGTAAGTTCACAACTGCTAAGACTGTCAGCTTAGATTAGTATGTACTCTTTCCCTGAGAATATTATTTAATCCACATAAACAACTAAGAAAGTAAAGCAAATATTTAATATTTAAAACAATAACTCATGTGTTTTTTTCTAAAGCAAAAAGAGGAAAGATTCAATTACTGCACTATTCCATTGTAAGGAAATACAACAAGACTTTTTAATTCTATTATTGCATGAAATACACATAGGGAACTTGAATTCGTACAGTTGCAGATAAAAATGCTCTCAACTCGGGATACTTGTCACTTAGTCCCTTCTTGAAATTCCTCTTTTAGCATCTTACTGACACTTGCATCTCTTCTCTAATTCCAAAAATTTAAATCTCTCTCAAGGGAACTTATTTTTTTCTATACCTGAGATAGTTCAAAGTCATTCCTCATTCTTAGTGTTCCTTTTTTTTTTTTTTTTTTTTTTTTTGAGGTTTTTTTTCGTTCTTAGTGTTCTCAGCCAAGAAACAATAAATCTTTTTTAGGAAATTGGTTTGTAACCACTGAATTTGAGTCTTGGACTTCCGAAGAAGAAATCTGAAATAACCCCTCTCAGACAGAGATTAGAAAATGTTCTTCACAAAGGAGTAACCTGCACCACTGATTTATTGGACACACAAAACAAAAGGACTAAGGGATAGTCAGGTTTCATTTTAAAAGGCTCTTTTTAATAATAGGTGTGCCCCAAATGAGATGCTTGTCTTTTGAGATGGAAATCTCAAGAAACACTGGTGGTTGAGAACATGACTTCCAAAGTCAAATCTCACCTCTATCACCCCATATGTGAAGATCGTCCATTTGGTTCCATCTTCAAAATAAAACTACAATTCTAACATCTAAGACCATCTCCACTGCCAAATCTCCTAGTCTGGGTAATGGTCATACTCTGTTGGCTAGCTGAAGCCTTGTAGCAAATTTTATTGCTTTTACTCTACCCCAAAATCTACTTTCAACACAGTATCCAGAGTCATTCTTTTGAAAGTCAAGTAAATTTATATCATTCCTGCTGCTATTTCACTGAAAGTAAGATCAAAACACAAACACCTAACAGGCTCCCCTCCCAACCCATCAATTGCCTCCCTACCTCATTGCCTTTGCTCTGTCAGGTCTTCTCCATGTTTTTTCCCTAGAGCATGAGCTTCTCCACTATACCTCAGACACATCAGAGTTCCATCCCATCTTAGGGTTTATGTGCTGCCTGCTCTCTAAAAGGCCTCTGTTCTCCATCTAAAAGGCCCTTTCTTTTGGCACATGCATGGCTAATTTCTTCACCAAAGTTAGATCTTTGCATAAACATCCTTGCATGAAGCTTTCCCTGAATACTCTATCAATATTGCAACTTCTCACTGCTACTAATGATTATGCTCATTTTTCATAGCATTTACCACCTGCTAGAATATTATATAACTGATGTATTTTTTTTCCATATTATCTTTCCCCCATAAACAAGACTATAAGTTAGATTAGGCCAGTAATTTTGTTGGAACAAATCTGAAGAAGCCCCATAGTTATTCTTCACATATTATAAAAAATTTCAGTTCTTTTCAGAGCTGTTGTTTTCTAAATACTTTGCAAATCCTGATAGTTATTCTATATAACTATATATGATGACTGAATCTAATTTAATAGAAAGATATGAATGCAGCCACTTTAGTTTCTTTACACGTTTCTCCTTTTCTTCTTCACTAGAATTGTGCACAATTACACCAAACTGTGATGCTTTTGAGTGAGTTCTTATTTATTTTTTGCTGACTGGATGTGGGAATTCATTTTATTGTCTGAATTACTTGTCTCAACCTTTCCTTCTTCACTTATGCAAATTCCAAGAGTTCCCAAACTTTAATATTTATATCTTAACAAAATCATTTACACTTTAACAACAAATTCTCTTTATTAGCCAAAGTTAAGCATAGAAGTACCTCTTTTTTTTTTTCATAAACCAAGGAATGAAACTGTCACAAGAGCAGGACAAACATTCATAGTGCATTCAGCTTTAGCAAAATAAGACTTGGAGATGCCTGACTACCTGAGGTTAGCAATAAGTACATTATCTTCTCTGCCTTATGAATTGCATTAGAAGAGCAGTAAGTTTCTCCTCCATCTAGCTAGGCTATTCATAGCAGTACCACTTTGGTTTCTCACTTTGGTCCCTTGATCTGAACTTGTCTATCAGGGTTCTCTGTATATTCACACCTGCTACCCCATGTTCCTTTTATGTCACATTTCTTTGAAAAATGATGTATCATTCTGCTGAAATATTATCATTGTGTTTTCTTCTCAATATGTTCTGGCATCACCCAATACAGCATATTTGTTTCCTTTTGTTGAAATTGAAACTTCCTCACATACAGTGAGGCTAAATTCTCTGCAGTGTCCTGAAATTTACTGCCCTACCAATTGTTCACCTTTCTGTAAGGCAGATAGAAATTTCTGTAAGGCAAATTTCATAATAGAATGTATCTAGCCACAAGTCTATAGTTGTGTTAAATTAGATTTATGTCAGACAATTTTCACTTTTCCATCCTATATATAGAGTTAATTACAAGCTCTTATTTATCATTTATTTATCATTAAGTTATAAACTTAAACTTGAAGAAAGATTATAATATTATTATTCAGATGCTTCAGTACTCATTTCAAAACAGTAAAAATGTAGAGAAAAATAGTTTAAAAGAAAGGCTAGTGTCACATAAATGTATTCAAAAATGGAAAGAATTAAATATAATACTGTTAGTAATTGCTCAAAACCACAAGAGTATCTATGAAACACAAGTTCAGTACTTGTGTTAATGGAACCATTTGTAGTCTCAAAAATCTTTTAGAGAATTGCATATTATTACTTTGACTAAATCACGATGCAACTATCAAAATAAGAAAAAACTTAACTCTGAGAAGAGGGGTGTAATGCCAATATTTAAACAGTTTTATTTCAGAGAATAATGAGGCAAATATCATTATTCATAAAAGCAGCCTATTACAGAGATGCTTCAACTTTTGCTTGTTAAACAGCAATGATGAAATGACAGACTTTTACAGTTCTGTGTTCACCTCAACTCCCAAAGACCTTTCAATTTTCAAATCTAGTAACGTAAGCACACTGTTAATTTCATACCATTCAGAATTCACCATGTTATAATTATATTAAACATTTTGTTCTGCTTTATGGAATTGAATGTACTATTTTAATTAGTTGGTAATAAATTGTACAAACTCATAATTCTAGAAAGAAATAAAAGCTTTTTTCTACTCTACCAAAATGTATCTTTCCTAAATATATTTTGTATCATGACAGTTATGCATGGTGAGAAAGAGAAAAAAACTTCGTGGGTGACCTTGAAAGGCTACCCAAAATATCTTACACTATTTACTTTCTCTTTTTTTTGGTACCAGGGATTGATCTCATGACCTTACCCTTGGGAGGCAGGCACAGTGCCACTGAGCTAAATCCCTGGCCTATTTACTTTCTGAGCAAGTTAGAGACTAGCATGCTTTAAGACTTCCTCAGTCATCTCTTGTTGACAGATGTACTCCTCTTTGCTATATACTGCAAGCTTTGAAAGTGCGTGGAGCCTGGAATCCTTTTGCTACTAAACATGTTGGAAACTCACAAACATAATTAGACTTGGTAGTTCTATGTATTTTATCAACCACTCACATCATGACAGATAGAATGTTCTGCCAAGGAAAGTCAAAATTTCCTAACATTAAGGACTCCACAGACAAATCACATGTACTAAATGTCATTTGATCTATATAATGATTTGAACACACTTCAGACTCAAAGCATGAAAAGCAAACTGGCAACTTCCAAGCTTATTATAACAAGACATTTGATTCAGAACAAAACACTGTTGGGAATTACAAACTATTATAAGTTAAATAAAACAGTTTGATATGTATGGCAAGGGATATGTTCTTTTGTTTCTCCACTAATATCCCATCTGATGAAGAATTAAATATTCTATTGGGAAAAACAGAACAAAGCTAATAAACAGTACTTTACTTTTAATTCTCTTCGTTCATCTGTGAATCACAAAAGTAATGCTGCAGTAAGTGAACTGAATGAGGTATGCAGAGAACAGAACATTCTACCAAAACTGCTTCTTCTAGAGATAAACTCTAGGATAAATGTGTCCAGGGAGAGATTAAAGGAAGCCAACAGAGGTTCTCTCAGACAAATAGGCATTACACATGACAAGGAAAGACTTTTTATCAAGCACAGTCATTTAGATAAAGTATAAACAAATAATTACAAACTAGATATCCACTTCATAATTTTTCTATTAACACTTTAAATCTTTACAGGCTAATAGCCAATAAGTTCCTTAAAAACCATTCTTTGTGGATAATTGCTTAAAAGAACAATGACCCAATTCTCATAAATTGGATTTAATAAAGCAGAATGAAGCCATGATTTGGCCCTTTATTTATGAGACATGGAGTAGTGGCTGCATGATGTGTGCCACTTTCTAAATGGGCTCCACCTC